GTTTTGTCTTGTTCATTTGTTTAGAACCTATTCCTGTGTCTGCTTATTTTGTCTGACTCCCTGTATTTGTTTCTATATATATATATATGATAGGTTAGGTCAGCAGTGATTCCTGGCATTGAAGGTAGGTGTGGAATTGTGCTGTGGGGCCTAGAAATGTGGTCACCAGTACCAGGTGCTTTAGGGATGTCCCCCGTGTTGGCTCTATGCACCCTTCTATGTGATGGGCCATGACTTCAGTAGGTGCACTGGTGGGCAAGGGTGTCCCCTCCTTACTTCCCTAGCAGGAGTTGCTTTTAGGATCAACAGTATCCACCAAGGGTATCTGCCAGGGATGCAGGATAGGAGCCAAGGAATGCCTACCAGGAAGGCGAGTTTGACAAGGCAGGTCTGCAGGGGAACACTGGTGTAGAACAGGCAGCGCTAGCTAGGTATATGGGTAGTGTCAGACTGGTGCCCACCAGTATCAGATTTATTTAGGCTGACAGAGAGCAAGAAGAATATGCCTGTCAGCATTTCCATTCTTGGATAAAGTTCTTATAGAACCCTGCCCCTTTGGCATGCTCCCTAAAATTAGTTAGTAAACTCCTTTATTTAGGGCCCAGGTACTTTTCAAACTGCTGCCTCTCTGGTAGAGAGAGCAAGTAAGATTGTGTGTGGTCCCTTTAAGCATGGAGTCTGTTTCCTTTAGCCCTCCAATTCTCTTGAAGTTAAGCCGAGCTGATTTTCAAAAACAAGTTATGAGAGTTTATCTTTCTGTGAAGATCCCCAGGGTGGGAGATGCCTAGTGTGGGACTGTAACCTCTCACTTTTCAGGAAGGACATTTTTACCTGTGATACCCCCCCCCCCACTTGGTCTCAGTTCCAGGGTTTGGTTTCTGACCTGACCACGTCTCTGTCCCATTTTCCCTTCTTGATGTGGTTTTGTCTTTATCCTTATAGTTGTCTAAGAGCTGTTGTGTGAGTCTTCAGGTCATTCTTAGGGAGAGTTGCTTTAAATGGAGCTGTAGCTGTTGTGTGTGCACGAGAGGAAGTGAGCTCAGGATCCTCCTGTTTGGCCATATTCTCACCTTCTGCCTGTCTGAAGATATTTTCGGTTGTCACAACTAGGAGATGCTCTTGGTGTTAAGTGGATAGAAGTTAGGGATGCTGGTAAACATCCTTCAGTATGCAAGATAGGCCCCCACAATAGAAAATTACCCCACATTTACTAGCCCAAAATGTCTGTAATGCCAAGGATAGGAAACTTTTAGAGTATTATCCATAAAATCTTTTTCTTAGCAGTCTTAGAATTTTCTGTCAAAAATGTAGGACTCTTTTGTGTTTGTTAGGAACCCTAAGGCATTACCACTTTCCAAAGGTCAGTGTCTTTTACTGCTCATGAATCTGTTAACTCTCTTCTGTATGTTTGAGTTGAGCCCATTTTAATAGTTTTCTTTGTTGTTTTCTCAGCCTTTTGATTTGTCCTTGTACTTTTATTTTCTCAGATAACATGATTATTATGGTATTTCTGTTCTCGAGTAACACAATTGAGATGCAAAACACCATGTACTTGAATTCTTTTGGGGAAAAATGCAGTGGAACAGAGGCTTAAGAGATGGAGTAATATTTTTAGTGACTCAGAATGTCAGTTGTGGTTATTAATAATAGTGTTGCTTCAGCTCCACCATATGCAATTATTTTTCTTTAACCATAAAAAGTGTTGATTTTAGTTAAATTTTAGTATGAATATTGAGAAGAGTTTATATTGGGTCTATAATTTCTGGAATGCTTTAGAAGCATGGTTAACACTTGTCCTCTGACCAGTTTTCATAATTTCTGGAGTGCTTTAGAAGGATGGTTAACACTCGTCCTCTAACCAGTTTTCACATTTTGCAAGTGAAAATAGCAGCACTTTCTTATATACCCTATTTGCTCTTGACACTCATATTTGTAATTTTATATTTCACAGATAGCACTTTTTACCACTCATTTTATTTGGCTTTGTGAATTATAGAACAGAAGTAAATGAGCATGATCCTCTTCTCTTTAGGTCTGCAGGGTCTAAATAGAAGAATTCAGCTCACACACATTAAAGAACATATAGACAGTATAAAGTTACAGCTCATAAAGTAGAATCAGACTGTGTAGCAGTAAGTGAGACCTTAACAAATCTCCTCTAACCTCATTTTATAGATGATGAAACTGAGGCTCAGAGTAGTTTAATGTCTTCCAGAAGGTCATGGAGCTAGTTACAAGGAAGGCTGAACTTGAAAGCAGGTCGTATGTTTTCCGGTGAAGTCATGACCAAGTTCTCCGTGTGACTGGACCTATGGTCTTTTCTTTGGGTCTAGGATTAGCCTGTTTATGTCCTCCCATCTTCAGGGGACCCTGGCTATTTAATGGTCACATCCCTAACAGAGAGGGAGTCACCTCGCCAATAATTACATAGTTTTCATTGTCCCTGATATTTGGCTGTGTAGCTTCTTAGGAATAAGCTTAATATTTTTACTTAAAATTATTTTAGATAAATAAGGAGGAAAATCATACTGTCCTTGTGAAGTCTTTGACCCCCTTTTTTTTCTTCTACTTAGAATGCTTTTAAAATTTCAAGGGTTAGAGGTTGCCTTTTACTGAAAAATTAACTGGTTTGGTGTCCTGGCCTTTTGTTGTTTGTTAAAATCTTCTATCTTGTAATGGAGTTTGAATTTTCATGGCTTTATGGATAGCATATCTATCACACAAATATTAACTTATATTTGAATGATTGATGAACCATTTTAACTTCTGTGCTAGTTTTAAATGAAGGCTTTTACGGAGCCTCTGTTCTGTGGCTTGAATTTTTCCATAACAAATTTGGGACAGGTTTGTGTGCTGCTTTCTTCTAAATTCAGATACATGATTCACATGTTACATTTCCTCAACCTAAGTGTATGTGCTGCAAAGTTTGGATGGATCAGGTTGATGGGTCAGGCTTCCCTGGGCAGGAGTGGATGCCTACTGTTCTAAGTGAAATAGACTTAAACATGTCTTTATGTGTAAAGTATTTACCCTCCATGGCTCACTAGTTTGCTTTCCAGTTATTTCCAGTGATTTTTAAAATTTTGTTGAATTCATCAGTGAAAACACCTTTGAAATGTAAAATATTGAAAGAGAATTTAGCATAAGATAATGATTTTCAAGGGGAGACATTCTTTTGGTTTACTTTATTATTTTATTTTATTTTTTAAAAAAGATTGTATTTATTTATTCATGAGAGACACAGAGAAAGAGAGAGGCAGGGACACAGGCAGAGGGAGAAGAAGGCTCTATGCAGGGAGCCTAATGCAAAACTCAATCCCAGGACTCCAGGATCACACCCTGGGCCGAAGGCAGGCGCTAAACTGCTGAGTCACCCAGGGATCCCCCATTCTTTTGGTTTATATTTTAATTTTGTGATTATGTTCATGCTGGATTTTAATTTTGCACAACTGCTTTGAAGTGTGCCGTTATACAATACACTTTGAATTTTTTACTTTTATGCCAATGGTACAGTTAAGCTCCAAGAGAAATTTATAAGGAGCTAGAAATATTTTTTACCATTTGATCCATAAGTTTATTCATTAAAAATGTGCTTCTAGTGTTTGTCTTTGACATTTTCTTGAGAATATATACATTTCTTGGTTTTACAGTTCAGTAAGGAAGAACTTACTTTGTCATTTATACTAAAGCAACTCATCACTTCTCTTGAATTCAGCCTCCCAGTAACTTCAAATGTCTAAATATAGTCAAGAGCCAGGTAATTTGAAAAGATGAAGTGAAGGGATGGCTTCTGAGTAACAAAATAGATGCTACACAGTCTACAACTTTGCCCATAGGAAATTTTCTGAGCATCTCAGTTTAAAACCTATTTTTTTCATCTTAAGGCAAAGCTCTTACAAGCCAAATTATGTGGTTTTCATGCCCACAGCAGGTTAAAAGTAGCAAATAATGGGGAATTTTAGAGATTTTCACATGACAGTGAAGCAGGAAAGAAAAAACGTAATGCAGTAAACACAACTCAAAAAGCATCACATCTTTGTTTAGTGGGAAGGCACACTGGCAGCATACCCAACTCCAGGATTAATCCAGTAACCATTGGTGTTTGCAATGTTGACCATGTATCATTTAGAAGAGGTTTAGAATATCCAGTGAACTCTAAGAACACAAAGAAGCAGGATACATTTTTTAAAAATCAGTGCACCTAATTTATTTTAATCCACCACTCAACTTTGTCCAGTCTTAACATATTGCCATATTTTTCATGTCTTTTTTTAAGACCTAAAATGTAGGTATGCAGGGAACCTCCTTCTGTCCCCTTTCTTTCTCTCCTATGAGTTTACTCTCTTAAAATTGATATTCATTCCCATGCATATGTAGATATACACACACACAAACACACACACGCAGAGGAAGCCATAAAAAGTAATGCTCTGAAGTTTTTATTTATTTTTTATTTTTTAAAGATTTTATTTATTCATGAGAGACAGAGAGAGACAGAGAGAGAGAGAGAGAGAGAGAGAGAGGCAGAGACACGGGCAGAGGGAGAAGCAGGCTCCATGCAAGGAGCCTGACGTGGGACTCGATCCCCGGTCTCCACGATCATGCCCTGGGCCGAAGGCAGGCGCTAAACCACTGAGCCACCCAGGGATCCCCCAAAGTATTTATATAAGTGGAATCATGCTCTACATATTTTCTGTCACTTCATTATTTTGTATTTTGGGATCTGTGTTGGTAACACCATTTACTTACTCATTCCTGTTGATGGCCTTTATATTTTCCACCTTTTCTGATGCTATGCATGCATTCACACTTCTTAGGTGACCTCAACTGATATGGAGGAAAATGTTCCCGGTGTTGTCTATGTATCATGTGTCAGATAGCCTATGATTTTAAAATTTGTCTCAAAACTCCACCTAGTATCCATAGATAATAGGATGTTGACTGCATTCCATCTTATCAGACTGGATTGTTTGCTAAAATTCCTTTTTGTCCTTCTGTAGAGACTGACAGCCAATACAGGAAGCAAACAGCGTAGTCGCCTTTCTGTTATGGCCCAGTACCTCTGCAATGTTCAGCACATCATGACAATTCCTGGTCAGGCTTTTGTCCCTAAACCAGAGGTAAGTTTCTGTTTATTTGTATATCTTTGTTCATCTGAGGATGTGTTGTAGGAAATTATCTCTAGAATTTGGTTGTCATTTGTATACAAGCTGTACCTTTTCTTTTTCTCCAGAATAAGAAAAACCACACTGTGTGAATTGTTCTTATCCTAATTTTTCTCCCCTTCATAGTGACCAAATGTCTAGATTTATCCATGTTACCATAGTAGTGGTGGTATTATTGTCACCTTGTACTCTTAAAGGTTTTCCAGTATGTAAGATAAATTATATAGTCACCTAATCCTCAAAAAAAGAAATCAGTATTTATTTTGTGATTTCTGCAATCAGGTTACATCAAGTATTTTTTATTGTGATTTTTTCCATCTTTTTTTTTTAATTGAAGTACAGTTTAACATCCAGTGTTATGTTTCAGGTATGCAACATATTGATTCAGCAGTTTTTATACATTACTCAGTGCTCACACAATAAGTAAAGTCACCATCTGTCATCATACAATGTTATTATGGTATTATTGAGTATAGTCCCTATGCTGTACTTCTCATCTTCATGACTTTTTTTATAATTAGGAATTTGTACCTCTTAATCTTATTTATTTTACCCATCTTCCCTCCCACTTTCCCCCTGGCAACCTTTGTCCTCTGTAGTTAAGTCTGACTTTAGGTTTGTTTGTTTGTGTCTTGCTTGTTCATTTATGTTTTTGATCCATATATAATTGAAATCTTGGTATTTGTCTTTCTCTGTTTGACATATTTCACTTAACATATGCACTCCGGGTCCCTCCATGTTATCACAGAAGGCAAGATCTAATTCTTTTTTATGGCTGAGTAATATTCCTCTGTGTGTGTTATACATACATACATGCATACATACCACATCTTCTTTATTCATTTATCTATCCATGGACACTTCAACTGCTTCCATATCTTGGCTGTTGCAAATCACGCTGCTCTAAACAGGGGTGCATATATCTTTTCAAATTAGTGTTTTTGTGTTTTTGGGTAAATACCCAGTATTGGGATTACTAGATTGTATGGTATTCCTATTTTTAATTTTTTGATAAATGTCCAAGCTGTTTTCCACAGTGGTTGCATCAGTTTACATTTCTACCAGCAGTGATAAGGGTTCCTTATTCTCCACATCCTCACCATTTGTTGTTTCGTGTCTTTTTGGTTCTAGCCGTTCTGACAGATAATATCTTATTGTGGTTTTGATTTGCATTTTCTTGATGAATAGGAATCTTGAGCATCTTTTCATGTGTCTCTTGGCCATCTGTATGTTTTCTCTGAAAAACTTCTGCTGATTTTTTATTTGAATTGTTCCTTTGGTGTTGAGTTGTGTAAGTTCTTTATATAACTTAGATATTAATCCCTTATCAGATATATTATTTACAAATACCTTCCCCCAATTCAGTAGGTTGCCTTTTTGTTTTGTTGATGGTTTCCTTTGTTGTGTAAAAGCTTTTAATTTTGGTATAGTCCCAATAGTTTATTTTTGCTTTTGTTTCCCTTTGCCTCTGGAGACATATCTAGAAAAATGTTGCTATGGCAATGTTAAAGATATTACTGCCTATGTTACCTTCTAGGGGTTTTATGATTTTGGTCTCACATTTAGGTCTTTAATCCATTTTAAGTTTATTTTTGTGTATGGTGAAATAAAGTTGTTGAGTTTAATTCTTTTGCACGTAGCTGTCTGGTTTTTCCAGTACCATTTGTTGAAGAGACAGTCTATTCCCCATTGTATATTCTTGCCTCCTTTGTCAAAGATTTGAGTGTATATTTGTGGATTTATTTCTGGGTTCTCTGTTCTGTTGATCTACGTTTCTTTTTTTATGCCAGTACCTTACTGTTTTGATTGTTGTAGTTTTGGTAGTATGTCTTGAAATCTGGGATTGTGATACCTCCAGCTTTGTTCTTCTTTCTCAAGATTGTGTTGGCTATTTGGGGGCTTTTGTGGTTCCATATAGGTTTTACTATTATTTAGTCTAGTTCTATGAAACTTGCTGTTGGTATTTTAATAGGGATTGCATTGAATCTGTAGATTACTTTGGGTAGTATGGGACTTTTAACAGTGTTGGTTCTTCCCATCGATGAACATAGAATCTTTCTATTTGTGTCATCTTCAATTTCTTTCATCAGTCTTTTATAGTTTTCAGAATACAGGTGGTCACTTCCTTGTTAAATTTATTCCTAGATATTTTATACTCTCTGGTACAATTATAAATGGGATTGGTTTCTTAATTTTTTTTCTGCTACTTTGGTATTAGTGTAAAGCAATACAATAGATTTCTGTATATTAATTTGGTATCCTGCTACTTTACTGAATTATTTATCAGTTCTAATAGTCTTTTGGTGGAGCCTTTAGGTTTTTCCATATATAATAACATGTCATCTGCAAATAGAGACAGTTTTACTTTTTCACATCAATTTGGATGTCTTTTTTTTTTTTTAAGATTTTATTTATTTATTCGTGAGAGACACACAGAGAGAGAGAGAGAGAGGCAGAGACACAGGCAAAGGGAGAAGCAGGCTCCATGCAGGGAGCCTGACGCGGAACTCGATCCTGGGACTCCAGGATCACGCCCTGGGCCAAAGGCAGGTACTAAACTGCTGAGCCACCCAGGCATCCCCAATTTGGATGTCTTTTATTTCTTGTCTGATTGCTGTACCTAGGACTTCTAGTACTATGTTGAATAAAAGTGGTAAGGGTGGGCATCCTTGTGTTGTTTCTGATCTTAGAGGAAAAGCTCTCAGTTTTTCACCATCAAGAATGATGTTAACTGTAAGTTTTTCATATACAGTCTTTATTATGTTGAGGTATGTTCCCTTTAAAACCACTTTGTTGAGAGTTTTTATCATGAATGCATATATTTTGTTCATTGCTTTTCCTGCAAATATTGAAATGATCATATGGTTATCCTTTCTCCTATTAATGTGATGTATCACACTAACTTGCAAATATTGAACTACCCTTGCCATTTCTGGAATAAATCCTACTTGATTGTGGTGAATGGTTTCTAAATGTATTGTTGAGTTTGGTTTGTTTATATTTTGTGAGGATTTTTGCATCTTTGTTCATCAGAGATATAGCCTGTAGTTTTCTTTTTTTGTAAACCAATCTTCTTTGATTGGTTTTTGTATCAGGGTAATGTTGGCCTTGTAGAATGAATTTGGAAATTTTCATTCCTCTTCTATGTTTTGGAATGGTTTAGAAAGTATGAACTGTCCTTGAAATGTTTGGTGGAATTTACTTGTAAAGCCATCTTGTCCTCGACTTCTGTTGTTGAGTTTTTTGATTACTGATTTGATTGTGTTACTAATAGTCTGTCCGAATTTTTGTATTTCTTCCTGACTCAGTTTTGGAAGATTATGTTTTCTAGGAATTCATCCGTTTCTAAGTTGTCCAGTTTATTGGCATATAATTTTTTGCAGTATTCTCTTGTAATCTTTTATATTTCTGTGGTATTATTTTTTCCCACCACTTCTGATTTTGAGTCCTTTTTTTCTTGAATCTGGTTTATCAATTTTATCTTTTCAAAGAATCAGCTTTTGTTTTTGTTGATTTTTCTTTTTTAACCTCTGTTCATTTCTGCTCTGAGTTTTACGGTTTCCTTCCTTCTGTGAGCTTTGGGCTTTGTTCTGCTTTTTCTGTTTTAGGTTGTATGGTTTGTTTGGTTTTTTGAGATTTTACTTGTTTCTTGAAGTAGGCCTATGTTGCTATAATCCACTCTTAGTACTGCTTTTGCTGCATCCCAAAGATTTTGAACTAATGTGTTTTCATTCTCATTTGTTTCATGTATTTTTTTTCTCTTTGATTTCTTGGTTAACTCATTCATTGTTGAATAGCCTGTTGTTTAGCCTCCATATATTTGTGTTCTTTCCACACATTTTACTATAATTGACTTCTAGTTTTATACTATTGTGGTTAGAAAAGATGTTCACTATGATTTGTCTTAAATTTATTGAGATTTTTTTGTGGCCCAACATATGATCTGTCTTGAAGAATGTTTCATGTGTACTTGAAAATAATGTGTATTTTGCTATTTTGGGATGAAATGTTTGTGGATGGAATATATCTATCTGTAAGGCTCTCTGATCTGTGTGTTACTCAGAGGCACAATTTCCTTGTTGGTTTTCTTTCTGGATGATCTATCCATTTATGTAAGTCAGGTGGTAAGGTCCCTTGCTATTATAGTATTATAGTCAATTTCTCCCTTTTTGTCTGTTAATAATTGCTTTATGCATTTGGGTGCTCCTATGTTGGGTACATGGCTATTTATAATCACTAAATCCTTTTGTTGGATTTTTCCATTTATCATTATGTAGTGCTCCTCTTTGTCTTTTGTTAGAGTCTTTGTTTTACAAAGTCTTTTTTGTCTGATAGAAGTATTGCTACCCTACCCTGACATTTATCTTTCACTTCCATTTGAATGGTGTATGTTTTTATAGCCCTTTACATGTAGTCTGTATATGTCTTTAGATCTGAAGTGAGTCTCTTTTAGGCAACATATAGTTGGATTTTTTTTTAATCCATTCAATCCCCCTATGTCTTGATTAGAGGATTTAGTCCATATACATTTAAAGTAATTATTGACAGGTATGTACTTATTGCCATTTTGTTCATTGTTTTCTAGTGCTTTTTTTCCATAGTTCTCTATTCTCTATTGCCCTCTTCTCTTGTGATTTGATGGCTTTCTTCATTGTTATGCTTGAATTTCTTTGCTTTATTTTTCTTGTGTCTATTATAGGCTTTTGGTTTGTGGTTACCAATAGACGTATATATCTTGTGTATAGCAGTCTGTATTAAGTTGATGGTTGCTTAAGTTTGAAAACATTCTATAAGTACTAAATTTTTACTCCCCCCTCTGTATTTTATGTATATGATATAATATTTTGCATCTTTTTATGTTGTAAAAAGTGAAATCCTTGGCTGAATTTTGTAGATATAATTGATTTTACTACTTTTGTGGGTCTTTTTTTTAACTACTTTTATGTTTTAACCTC